AAAATAAGTTAAATATGTATTTTGACACTTTGAAAACGTCGTATAATTACATCATTATTAATATTATTAAATAAATTTTGCTACTTGTATAGTTTTGTTTATCATTTCGTTGGCAAATGCTAAGTTAACATTGAGTAAATTAAATTGAATATAGAAATTAAATGAATTGAAATAAAATTCAAGTTTAGTTCAGGAAATAAATGAAATTCAAATTTAAAGCAAATATAATTCGAAAGTAATTCAAATTGCATTTAATCCGTAACGATCCTAAAAAATTTACGTCATATTTCATGTAAGACTTCCAAATGAAACGACATAAATTATATTGAAAAATTTATCGTGCAAAAATAATAATTAATTAAATTTAAAAAAAAAACGAATTAGACGTCTTTTTTGAGGAGTACGTTTGATACATATTTAACCATTTTCGATATCCATTTGGACCATTCGATATGAAAACGATGTAGTTTTCGAAACAAACTTTTACATGGCATAGACGATTTGTGGATTCAGATAGCACATGATTGCAAATGAATTTTTAAAGTTAGAATATTATCGAAATTCTCAAAATATTAGTTTCAAACGGCCTATTTTAACATGTCATAACTTTTGCTATAATCGACCACTTCGCATACCATTAATGAATAAAAAATTAGACCATGAGCACTTCGAAATGGTATTAAGAATGCAATATTTTGAAGTGTACAGACAATGTAGAGAACCTGTGATCCAGTTAAGGCATAACCCTCGATTTATCCCCTCCAAAGTTCTAGGGGCAAAGGTCTTGGGGGTCTAGGATTTAGTCTAGTATAAGTTGGGATGCCTGGATATAAAAAAAAAAATGCAATATTTTGACTTCATTTGACATTCTGACGAGTGCATCAAAGTAAATAAAAAAAAAAAAGGCAAAATTTTGTGGGGTCATTTGGTGGGTCCGCCCCTATTTGACAGTTGCTACCTCCGTCAGTCGCCATAGCCGTCCGCTTCTTAAGGACCCAAGGTTAATAAAGCCTTACAGAGTCTACAGACCACAGACGGTCGCGTCTCTGTAGATTATATTGTTTTGATTTTATTTATAACAACAGTCACATGACTCTCAACACTCCACATAATAATATTAGAATTCGATCTATTGAATGAAAAATGTATGAAAAGTTGCCTGAGTACTGCGTAGTTGTCTTCTTTGATTTGGTTGTTGTTCTAGAAGCGACCTCACTCCAGCATTCCCACCCCTGGAATGGGTGATTTATGAATGGCTAAGGATTTAAACAAAATAATATTTTTATGAACTTTGATGTGAGCCTGAGTTGGATTTGAAAGTCTAAGTGAAATTATTAATTTATTGAGATTTTATTGCACTTGAAAGTGAATTAGGATTACAATTTTGTGACATTAGCATTAGTTCTTTCCGTGGCTACTGCTACAGTCAAGAGAACATTTCCTGCGATGTCGTAGAGAATAATTGTAATATTCAAATATCTAAAATTTTCGTCACTTTTTAGAAGTTTAGGTGTGCCCTACTAACCAAAAAAGTCTGCGTCCACCACTGCACAATGGTGTACGCAAAGCATTACACCTCCCCTACATACAATAAAATATTTGTGGGCTCCCCTCCATGTGAGGGGTGTAATTTATTGTGTACACTATGAGGTGTACACGTAGAATAATAATTATAGGGATGTGTCCCTGTACCCTGACCAAAGAACTTGTGTTTGGGATCTGGGGACCATTTCTTCACTAATATTGCAAATAAGTTTTCAATTCTAACTGCTTCTGCTCCTTCTCGAGATTCCCATCACTGCTTGTTTTCATTTTTACAGAGGGTCAGAGAGAGACAGTTTCTTTTCTGCAGATACTATTCATTTCATGCATAAAATGAAAATGTATAACGAAAATTCTCTCTCTCTGATTGTGAAAGTATCCATGAAATGAATATTAATAGATATTATGATACTCGATTCTTGTCATGCATCAAAGATATTTATTCTTGTGCAGAAACTTGGATCGGGATTGATGAAGAAAAAGATGCGTGAATACTCCAAGGAAGTAAAAAACTGATATATATTTAAGCAAGAATTTCGGAGTTCAATAATAATAATAGGTCTAGAATTGGTATTACTCGTTAAGAACTCATGCTAAAACTAAAGTAAAAATGCTTTTCAGGCAGTGTGTTGTAAGGTTATTATTAATTATTTGTGTTTAAAAATTTGTGGAAAATATATAGTAGCCAGATTACTTTTTGTAAACTTTTGCTGACAGATTGTGGTATCATTTTTCTATGCACACAGTCATCTTTAAATTAATTCTTAATACTGCTGGTCGTTGGGAAAAATCTTAAATGTTTTTCACTATTCTAGGCAAAGTTTAAATGGACAATTCTGATATAAATTTATAAGTCACATAAATCTCTCTCTCTCCCCCTTGAATAGCGTAGTCCTTACATAATATTAGACATGATTTAACGAGATAATATACGTACATTTTTTTATATTGTCTAGTACCGCCTAATCTGCATTTCCAAGTATACATATTGTGATTGAGCTCTTGAAAAGCTGACAGTTTAATTTCCTTTTTCTTGACCTGGATAATTCCTTCTCTTAAATTTTCATCATGCTCTCCCTTTTTTTTTTTTTTTTTTTGGTTGTTCTTAGTTAACAATCTTCTATTTCACAAGAGCTAATCATTTGATGGGTCAAAAAGCATATTTCAGATCATTCCTTTTCCAAATGCAGAAAGAAACTCCAACACGGCTATGCTCTCTGTCAAACATAATTAATTAACAGTCAAATCTTGTAATATAATCACTTCCTGTCTAAATCAACCGATGCTGATCCACGAAAGTTTTCTCAGCGCTAGGGTGTGGTCCTCTCCCTAGCTGCTGATATTGAGTTTTAATTCAAGAAAAGCAATTGGTCCCTCCCCCATAAGGTAACCTCTCTCTCTCTCCCACCTAGCTACCATCCACATCAAGTTGAAAATGCTGTTGGTGTAAAGTCCAAGTTTTGAAGCCCTATTTAGTGGACTTATTTGAGAGGATTTTCTTATTGTTCTCGAAGTAAATTTTTTTATTAACTATATATCATGCTTATTGTCTTATTTTCTGATTAGTATGAATAACATATAAGTTAAAAAGAACCAAGATTAATGAAAGGCAGAGTGAGTCTTGACAGCAAGATTAAGGACCCAAGATTTAGTTGCTCTCTTATTTATGGCATTATTAGGGTTTAACATCATCCTTGGTACATACCAAGCGTGCTTCGGTTGAGACATATTATAGGAATCCCACGGCCTTTTATAGTTGTCGATAAAGTATTTACAACTTTTTCTAAATTTGCAAATCAAATGGTTTCTTGGTTAAAATTATATCATTTTTGCTCGATTAGAATCTCAAGTGTTCTTCACTAAACTCATGTTTTTAACAAAGACGGCTAATTATCTCACTATAATAGGTAGGTTAAGACTTAATTCATTAATAAAGAACATAACATCATTTACTTGTTTGATGAGAATTTGATAAGAACTTCGCAGTCTCATTCATCTGTCAGATGCCGAGGTGCACGTGGCTGCATTTGCACCATTCTTTCTATGGATGGTTGAAGAGGGCATCTACTTTTCTCCAATCCCACAGCTTGTGTTATAAGTATATACTCTAAATGAAAGAGAGTTTTCCTCTTTGAAACCATCATAGGGCTTACAAAGCGGTACACTGAATTCAGAAAGATGTATTGATCTGAAGTTCGTCAGCGGGCAGTTCTCTTCTCAGTATATAGAACTTAATTATCATTCTCATTGAAGACCATGGAAGTTGCAGAATTTCAAAGGTGCGCATTTCTTATTATTGTCTTTCGGTTGTACCGGCACGTTTTCATGAGTTCATCAATTTCTTTCTCGAGTTACAACTGAGATATATCCATTGATTTCTTGAAAATATTGTACCACAAAAGTAGTTTTTTCCAGTCACCCCGTATATACTGATGAGAATCTTTTGCTCTATTCCAATTTTTTTTCTAATTTATAATACTAATTATAAACTCTATTTCAAGATTCAACCAAACTGAGATCTGTTTTAGATCCTATACAGTTTGCAGGACCAAACTCTTTAATTGATAATTATCTTGAAACAATTTTAGTTCATCTGTAAAAGAAAACAATTATTTGGCAGTATTCAGTTTGCTTTTTGTTTATAAATTTATTATTAGGTAATCTTTTTCTCATGAACTGATTGTGATATGGATAATAGTTGTAGCAAATTTCTGATCATTTAGCTAATTTCCATCCTTTTATGTTTCGTTCTCTCGTAGAAGAATATCATAAGGAACTGAGAGAGGAAGTTCATTCAAAGAAATAAATTAGGAGGGACAGAAGATTCAATATCCTCACCAGCTTGGAACAGTTTTATTAAACAGTTTAATTTCTTTTGCCCAATTATGAAAAAGTACACAAGATGACTACAAGAGAAGTAGATTTCAACACAAAACCGGAAAGCAGCACAGGTGATGTTGGCAAAATTCCTTCATCCAGTCCAACATCTTGGTCCAGGTTAAAGGATCCACGAATTGTGCGCGTATCACGAGCATTTGGAGGAAAAGATAGGCACAGCAAAGTCTGTACTGTAAGGGGCCTAAGAGACCGGCGCGTAAGGCTTTCTGTTCCTACTGCGATACAATTATACGATCTTCAAGATCGATTAGGGCTAAATCAGCCAAGCAAGGTGGTTGATTGGTTGCTTAATGCTGCAAAGAATGAAATTGATGAACTTCCCCCTCTTCAAATCCCTCCAGGGTGCTTTAGCCAAAACATTCATCCAATGCTAAATTCTCATGAGTTTAGACCTCCTCAATCTGATAAAGAAGTCCTAAAGATCAGCAACGGTATCAGTTGGAACGAACCCTTAAAACAATCCCGAACAGATCTATGGGGGGACAAGTCTAAGGATGTTTCTGGAGAAACAACTATGGCAAGAAGTGAAGAAGAAAAACAATGTAACCTCGACAGTGAAGAAGCATATGTTTCTGCAAACAATCTTTTTCCGAAGCCTAGTCAATCTTCTCTTCCAGGTTTGCTAAACAATGCAATGCCATATAATTCTTTTCTCAGATGGGATCCTTCGAATCCATCGTTATCTCATTCGCGAAGTGCTGGATTGACAGTCCAACCAGAAGATTTCCACAACTTCAACCTTGTGCCATTGTCTTCTTCAGCGGTGTCTGTCCCATCAGGTTCTCAGCAGGTTCTTGTTTATCAACCTAGAATGACACAATCTTATTTCCCTTCACCAGAAGAATTTGATCCAAAACAAGTACACTTTCAGAATCCCAGTTCCCAATTATCAAATTCCCTTACTTCGCCAGTTCACTCCACAGCTGAATCAGTTAGACCACTCCATTTCAGCATGACAGCTAGCCTTCTCCCTTCCCAAAACAATGGTGGAAGGGAGCCAAACAAACACGGTCAATTCAATGACCCCGTCTAAGATTTCTGCATTTTCCGATTGATGGAATTAACGTTCTTAGAATCGATCAAACTTTTCCACAGCATGCTCATCATCATAGTTGTGATCTTATGGACGATTTCGTGAATCAGCTTCATTGAGCTGCTGGGAAATGAGAAACTCAGGTCAGTTACACCTGATGATGTGAATGCATTTTACTCTACTGGAAGATGACTACATAAGGTTTTGTTGTTATAGTTTATATTTATTGCCCTAAACGACTGTTGATCATAGTGAAAAGTTTGACATTAAGATTGATTTGGTGTAATTCTATATGTATGTTGTTCCCTATTTTGGCTCTAGTAATACTATATATTTATATGTGTGTGTGTGTGTGCGTTTTCCGACAGATTTTTTCTTCAAAATTGATTTGAGTTATACAAGCCAATTTCGATTTTTCTTGTACAACTCTTTGTAAAACATGCTTTACTTAAATTTGACCATGAAATGTCTTAAACACCAATGCTTTTTCTCCGCGCCGTGCTTCCTTGCTCTTTAATCTCTGACTTAACATACCCCTTGACGTCTTGATATATAGCTCGTACCTTTGCCCGTTAGTTTAGTAACTGCAAAAAAAAAATCCAGGACATATAGCCCAGAATACTGGTCTAATACCAGAAATTCTTGAATCATGAAGCTCTAGCACAGTTCCCAGCTCAAACTGATTTTTTATAGATTCATTTTCATCGTCAGAATATTTCAAGAACAAAGATCAAAGTAGGGTTGATATAGGAAGCTGGTGCATATAGTCAGTAGAAGATAAATAACAAAAATAAGGGCAGTAGTGTCTGTTCTTGAATGAATGAGACAGGCACAGTATTGTCAACTTTACGTAAGATCCAACAAAATACTAGTGGATAAAGGAGGAGGAAATTAAACGTAATCTCAAAGGGTTTATTGAAAGTAGGCATCAAAAATGAAAAGATAGTGGGTGGTCCTAAAATCAAGAAAAGGATTGGAGGTACAAAGTAATTAGGGTTTGGAAGCTGTGGTCTTTATTTAAAAAAAAAAAAGGTTGAACCCCAACCTTGAGGGCCCCCATCGCTCTGTCCCTAGAACTTTGTGAGGGACGTAAATTGTGGGATGTGCCCCAACAGGCCAGGGAACAAGAGCTACCTGTACACTGCGCCTACAAGGAGTCTAATTTCATGTCTCAAGAATCGAATTCCCACACTGTGGCTGCCAGCAAAGCGTGAGATAACCCACTCCTATCCTTTGCACCGCTGGACTATGCCCCAAGGAGCTGGTCTTTATTATCATAGATAGTGCGTGGGTGTAGAACAAGGGACCACTGAATTTTTTTCTAGGAGGGTCCCTAGTGACGGATCCATTACTCGTCTCAGATCAAACGGAGGCATAACTAGAGTATGGAAAATTATCAAATAGAAAATATAATAATATTATAAATAAAAGTAAAAAAATAAAAATAAAGAAGTCATATAATTTTATTTTATTTTCAAATTTTTAGTAAAACTCCACTGGTCCCTACATCCATCCATCACGCCTTGTATCTATCATATTCCTTTGGTACTAAAGTTTTATCAACTTTTTAATTGCTCAAACTTTAATTTCAATTACGCATTTCATGGAGTCCAAAATTTTAATCAACTTATCAGCGACACATTAAATAAAAAATTATCAAAATCAGTTAAAGTTTTTTTTTATCAAAAGTTTTGTCACACAGTCCCTAAGTGTAAGTCTGATTATAAATCGTTTTAGGATTGGGTAGTCTTTCTTCCATATATATATATATATATATATATATATATATAAGGAAAACTCCAATCGAAGCTCACGACCTATTAGAAAATTAAAATATTTTTCCTCTTTGTGTATAGTAATTTAATTAGACATAATTATAATCAAGGGTAATAATTTCTTAATTTTCATCGTAAATCTAGTTCTTTTTTGGCTTTGCATCTATTTATATTTCACAATATCATATGGAATAAAAATTTTAGTTCCTTGAAATACCTATCCAATAATTATTTTATTTTTGTGAAGAAATTCAAAAATAATGGGTCCTTTCCTTTAATTCAAGAGCTTAGTACATAAACTCGTTAACGACTCACTAATATTTTTCCCATACCAACTTTATTTTTAAAGTCAGAAAGAGTACGAAGTTGAAAATCTTGTATTCTATTCATTCTGGTATATTATTTCTTTCTAAATGTGCATTTGCACTGTCAAAAATGTCATTAAACTTGAAGTCGATCCTTAAGGATTTCCTTTCATAAAGGTAGACAAATCAAGTAAGAACTTTCGTGTTACTTGTATGAAAAGTCAAGATTTGAAAGATACGTAAGCAAGTTAGGCACATATTCGCTTGGTATATATACTCTAGATATCATTTGGCCGGTTGAATTTTCTTTAAGAACCAAAGTATATTTTAAGATTGTCCACTTTATATATATACGTTTCTTTTTGTCCAAGTCACTTCTTTTTTTGTCCAAGTTATTTTTCTTTTTGTCTAACTCACTTCCTTTTTTCTGTGTGAGTTTCGAGAATATCCCCATTCATAGGTCCGAGATCTACATCTATGAATTGAAAGGTTCGAATGATCAACTCTACAATCAGTTGTTAGAATCAATAGGTCTTCAAATTGTTCATTTGATATATATATATATATATATATATATATATATATATATATAATCATAATAGAGATAAAATCTTTTCAAATTGATAATTTATTCCATATGTTTCATCTGCATTGCTATTTCTGAAACATGGAAATCAAAGTAGGTGGAATAGTCTTAGGCCCAATAAGTTGATCTCTTTAATTGTAGGCGCGTCTCGGGCGGAAGATGGGAGAATATTACGAGCTCCTTGCATTTTCTATTGGAAAAATTACATATTTAAGAGATTAAATATAGCCCATTTCAAAACTAAGAAACATGATTTAAGCTTTCAAAATTCAGATATTAATTAAATTTTTTATTTATGAAATAACTAATTAAAAATATATCTTATTAATTAAATATATTAAGGTCACAATTCTATATTCTTTGGTCACAAATTATCAAATTAATTGATCACAATTTATTTTTCGATCATGAATAAAAAATACAAATTATTTCACAGTCACAAATTAAATTTTTTATAGGTCGCAATTTATTTATTGGAACCAATAAAAAAATTTATAAGTCAATTTATTTATTGATTACAAATCACAAATTTTATAAGTCACGATTCAAATTTTTAGATCACATATTATTTGTTGGTCACAAGTTATCGGTCACATATTATTTTGGGAAATTACAAAAATTCAGGTGTTTAAATATCACAATTCAAAGTTCAGGGTTGAAATTTCACTGTGTAAAAATCAGGTATTGATTTAATAATTTAAATATTAAATAAATCCACCAATTCATTTCATAAAACAAACCAACTCACGCATCTGCTCTGTTCGTCTCTCACTCTCTACCCCATTTAATCGGCGACATCTCTCTATCGCCATACTCTTCGACGCGATCTTTTGGACTTTCATTGGTTTTCCTTAATAGATTTGTTGTGTTGAAACACAGTGGAGCCATCAATTGGTTGAAAGAAAGTCTAAATGCTCGAAAGGAAAATTTCAGAATATATCCAAGAATTTGGATCAATTGGTTCAATTGATGGATTACCCACAGTATTACGAACCTCAATTGAATGTTGTTGGGTAGAATTCATCATTTGGAATGCATTTAGTCCATGAATTGACCGAGTGCCAATTCTCACAAAAACTGTTCGCGATGGTGGAATTATTTTATTCTGGGCATTGATGTGTGGGACTGAATTTGATGAATCAAGGCCTGAAATTGGTCGCCTTGGTGACGAGAATCGGCCAGTGGTGGTCTGCGACCATGGGTGTTGTCGGAGTGGCAATAATTTGGATGGAGGTCGTACGTTACTTGCGATTTTTAAGTCGGATTTTGATCGATGCTGTCGTATACAGTCAATTGGATCTCGTTTTGGACGTATGCAATGATATCATTGCCATTGCAGTTGATGCGATCTAATTTTTAATTAGGTTGTGCAATGATTTTGTTGACAGTGTTTGTAATTGGTGGTGATGTTGGCTTTGTTCTAGTTTTGGTGGATGGTGGTGGTGATTTTGGTAGCGGCAGTGCTCATGTTGGCAGCAATGATTTGGATGGTAGCACCGTCAGTTGCAGGTTGTAGATTGGTGTGGTGCAGTCGATGGTGTGGTGCAAGCGGTAATTGAGACGGTGATTTGTGACCAAGATTGGTGCTAGGGGTATTTGGTGCATGTTACCAATAAATTTGAACATATGTAACCATGTGACTTGTAATTTTTTTGATCTGTGACCTGTAAATTTTGGATTTGTGATCTATAAATTTTTTGATTTGTGACCTCGGAATAATCTATAACCAATTAATCCGATGATATGTGACCAACAAGTAAATCTGTGACCATTAGTTGTGTAACTGTGACTTTATTATAATTAATTAATTAATATTTTCAATTAATTATATAGAAACCTGAATTTTTAATTTTTAAACTTTATACCTGATTTGTGAATTGGTGTAAACAATACACCCGGCATATGAATTTTTTTCCTATTATTTATTGATCACAAAATATCCAATTTATTAATCACAATTTCAAATAATTAATCACACATTATTTATTGATCACAAATTAACTATTTTATTGATTACAATTAACATAATAATTGGTCACAAACAAGCCATCCCACCCACAACCACTAACAACGTCAACACCATCGTTGTCAGCACCTCACTACCATCGTACCACCACCACTGTCACTGCCATTGCCAACCGAAACGTTTGAAAAGTTTCGCTCTAATCTTTTGAGTTTCTTATTCACCCAAAGCAAGTATGATTCACCTCTCTTCATTTCTGACACCAAAGCAAGTATTGTGCTTCTTTTCATCTATGTGGACCAATATCAACTCTGGATTGATATCCCAACTTCAAAACTGACTGAAGAATTTTTTTCATATGAAAGATTTGGGTCCTTTGCAATATTTTTTTAGGTCTTGAGGTGGTTTCAAGTCCAGCCCGAACTTACCTACATTAGCACAAATATATGAAGGAATTGATTAATTTAGCTGGACTTCAGAAGGGTTGCTCAATTGATACTCCTATGGAGGTGAATGTGAAATATAGCCAGGATGATGGTGATCTTCTTCTTGATATTTTCTTTATCACTAGCTAGTGGGTGTTTGAATTATCTCACTATTTTTGACCTGATATTTCTTTCGCTGTTCAACAAGTCTATCAGTTTATGCATGCTCCACGACATCTCCAATTGGTTGTGGTACGTCGTATTATTCGATACTCGCTTGGTACACATAATAGGGATCTTTTCTTTCCTGCCAATCTTTCCTTGAATTG